GAAATTTAATGTACTAATTAGATCCTACCTCACAATAAATAAGAAAAGGGTGAGGAATGTAACTCAGTGCAAAGGTCCTGGGTTCAATTCCCAATTTTGCAACAACCAGCCAACCAATCAAACAGACATCCTGAGTGGTTTAAAAGAAGATAGTTTTGAAAAGAATTTTTCTGTAAAGGGGCTCTCTTGATCATATTACTTAACTTGTAATTTCCTCTACATGTCTGTTCCAGTAGCAATTGCAGTAAATTCAAACCCTCCTGCTGTCCTTTCCTGCTAATGTAGGTGGGAAAAAATCCATTCATTCCATTGTTTCACTCATTTATATGGAAAGGCAAGTGTCACTTGAGTACTGTAAATGACATAATTTGAGCTTGACTAGGTTATATTTCAGCAATCCAGTCACTTTGATTTGCATATATCATCTCTCCAGTTTTTGAGGTATCTATCACTAATGTCGAGGGGTGCAAAATTGTATAACACTGATAATGCCTCTTTGGCTTATGTTGGAGTGAAGTGGTCTGTTGTTTTATTATATGTAAGATCAGAAAATTCTAATTGTGTTTTCTTAAGATTTAGGACAGTGCTTTCTTTGTTTTATTCTTGCTTTGTTATTTTTCATTTTTAGAAGTATATAAGAAAAACTGGGAACAGATCATGAAAGAATAAATGCCCATGAAATGCTTGGTTCTGTCCTAGTAGCATGTATTGTTTTAATTAATCTTCCCCGAGATGTGTGAATTATCTAAGCCCCTGGAATAATTAGGCTTAGAGAAAAGGAGTGATTCTGCATGCTTACATAACCAGTAAGGGACAGTGACTTTCTTGCCCCAAGAATGTGTGTTAGTCAAAGGACCAGAGACTGTGAGTTAAGAAAAAAATAATTGTTTTACATGTATAATATATGATAAACTTCCCCTCTAGTGCCCAAAACAGATTCTATTTTATGTTCTTTAAGAAACATAGATCATAGTGTCATCATAGTGTTGTTGGTTGGGTTCGTTCGTTTGTTCATCTGTCCATCCATCCATCCATCCATCCATCCATCTATTCATCTATCCATTTGTTACCAAGGATTGAACCCAGAGTCTTTGCACTGAGCTACATCCCTTTTTATTTTTATTATTTCTTTTTTTGTATTTTGAAACAAACTTTCACAGGTTGCTAAATTGCCCAGGCTGGGCTTAACCTGTGGTGTTCTTCCTCAGCCTCCCTTACTGCTGAAATTATAGGCATGCATCACCATACCCAGCTTGTTCTTAGCTTTATAAACACTATGTGTTATGAACTTAATAAGACATCAGCAATAACAGGCGTAGCATCTCTATCAACCGCAACAAAAAAGCAAATAGCTGACATTCCTAGACCATAAGTTATGTGCTAGAGACTGTCCTTACCTTTTTGTATATATTACTGTATTTGATGGTCAGAATAACTCTGTGACGGGTATGTACAGATGAGAGGCGGAAAGCTAAGTAACTTGCAAACTTGAACAAAAAAATTTGTGGCAGAGTTGGAGTGTAAGCCCACTCTTGTGGATTAGGTCATTCTTTCTAAAGAAATACTTGTTATCCTGGAGTGAAGAGTTAAAAATGAAGGAAACCAATTCTGATTAAGTAATGCTGAAAAGAAAATTTATTAAGAGGATCTAGAGAAGCTCATGGAATAAGTAAAAATCTAGAGAAGCAGATTTGGAAAACAATCAGAACCATGGAAGACCTGGAGACAGAAAAGGTGGCAAATTATGGCAGTGGGAAAAGTTTGGTCAGAGCAAACGCTACCAGGAGTAATCAGGGGTGCCATGGTGGTGGTCAGAGCCGCTGCTGTCATTGCTACTGCTACAGTAGTAGCCTCCGCAACAAGTTTTTGACCTTTGTATTACTCAGATATTCAAAGGCACCCATGGAAGCATTCACTTTAGGAAGCCTACATTATATGTGTGTGTGTGTGTGTGTGTTTAGGACAGGGTATACAACATCTCACTGTGTAGATCAGATTCCTAGTGATCTGCCTACTTACAGCCTCGCAAGTGCTGGGATTACAGGCGTGCACCACCATGCCCACTCTCAATTGCCATCTCAGTGTGCCTGGGGGGCGGGACCGGCATAGCATGCGGGAGTCGAACCCTGGTCGCTGTGCTCTGCCTAAGCAGGCACTTTAATCCGCTGAGCTATTTGGCCAGCCCTGTTATTTAGAAAGACCAGTTTTCACATACTTCTTGAATTTATTGTTCTGATACATTCTGGGCAGAAGAGAACTTAGGTTCTACTTTCCAAGTATTGCGCCTTCATGGTGAAGGTATTTTCTCAGGCAGTCTAAATCCTGTTATGTGGTACAATAGGTCAGTCAAATGATTTGAGAAACTGACAGCTAAAATAATGAGAGGCCACTGGTTGTCTATTTGTTAAATTGAGTTAAGCTTTAAGTGACCACTTTTGGTTCATTCTGTTTCAATCCTAGATTAAAGAGAATAACTTCTAAATGGCTGATAAATGCTTGAATGATACAATTCATGTAGCTTTTCTGGTTAAACTTAACTGTAGTTAAGTAAATCCTCTAGGTATCAAAAGGTAATAATCTTCAGCAAAAAGATGGTGGTTTTATTTATAAATATGGTCATTATCAGTAGTTCAAGAATTTGTTGTAAGGTTAAGATCTACCTTGACAAATGTTGTAGGAAATATTTTCTGATTTTATCTGATGGTTTACTGTTTTAAGTATAATCCATACAACAGAATTTCTGCCCAGTACAAGGGTTAGATTAGGACATGAAGTAAGGTACAGCTTTTCTCACACATCACTTAATGGAAACTAACTTGACTGGAAGTCTGCACTCAGTATGAATTTTATTAAACTTTAGTGCTTACAGTATATCAGGCGGTATGCAAAGTCCTCTATCTCTTTTATTCTTCGTAATAACCCAGTAAGATAAATATTATGATACTTTAAAGGTAGCACTGAGGCTGAGAGAAATAATGTGCCTCAGATCCCACAGCAGCCGTGCAGCCAGATTTTAGATGTGTGTCTGTCTATCTCTAAGCTTACGTTGCTGGCACCGTTTTATTGTGGAAGAAAAGCACTAAATTACAAGTTGATACTGAATTAGCATTCTTGAATTTTTAGATGAGAGACTGCCTTGTTACATGTTCTTAGAGAACAGTTTTCTTTCTTCAGATTCAGTAACTCAAAAATGTCGTTTTATCCCAGATTTACTTTCTGGTAAAAGAATGTAAGTCATTATCACAGTGTAGGATGTGGCTGCTTCCAGCGTTCTTCTGCAGGGCATCACATTGATATGTAGGTCAGATGACTCCCCAGCAGCTGGGCACACAGGCAAGTGAGGTAGGCGCTGTTGCACCCCACATGCAGAGTTTGTTAAGGTACATAGTCCTTTCTTGAGAAACCTAATGTGGGCACCACCTCCTGGCAGCAGGGAACCTCCAACTTACCAGACTTTCTGTGTAGAATATTTGATTTCACTGTATTTAGTTTTCACTTTCGAGCTTCAAATTAAATTCAGCTTTTCTAGGATTGGGAAGACAGTTTGGTTCATTTTGCTTTAGCTTTTTGGTTTTGGCCAAGTTTGCTGACTTGAGACTAATTTTTATTCATTTATTTGTGCTTTAGTAAATCTGTGAATCTAGAATGCTCATCTTCGACTTGAGAATGCTAACCCTAGCCCTTATGAATATTGTCCTCTTGTTTGATTTAGTCCACGTGCCACTGGAGGAGTAGCTCCCTGGGAGAGCATGTGCTAGCATGTGCGAGGCCCTGGGTGTGATCCCTAGTGGTGCACAACGGAAACCACCTGCTTCCCACGAGGTGCTCACAGGCACTAAGGAAAGAAGTAGCCTCCTATTGGTCCTGATGCTACAATAGTAGCCTGAATTCAGGTTGTTTAGGCGAATGGTGGTTGTCTATTTTAAAAGACTGTTAACTATTTTTTTAAATTAATACCTATTATATTGATTTATTCATTAAAATTCTACCACATTGAATATGAATTGTTTTCCCCTTCAATTTTATTTGTTAGATATACTTTTTTGGGGGTGATGTGCTCTGCCTAAGCAGGCACTTTAGCCCGCTGAGCTATCTGGCCGGCCCTAAATTTGTTTATTCTTCATCAAACTGCTTTCTGGGTCCTGTTTGGAGCTCTTCAAAACCAGATGTGGTATGAGGTCAGGATAAATAGAGTGAAGTGTGTCCACTACTACCTGGTCAGGTTCAGCACTCTTTGATCAGATATAGAGACATATACTGTGGCACATGCTGCTTTGATTGTCATTAGCAGGATACACAAGAAACATCTGCCTTATAGTTTAACAAGAGAACTATCACGTATGAGTGGAAGTATTAATAGGAGCCCAAATAATTTTTTTTTTATCTGCAAAGTAGTAATTCCACTGTATATATAGTAGATAAGTTTTTTTTTTTTTTTTTTTTTTTTGTACAGGGTCTGCAGGGTCTATAGGATCTCATTATGTAGATTGGACTCGTAGTGATTCTCCTGTTTTCAGCCTCCCATGAGCTGGCATTATAGGTGCACGCCACTATGCCCTGTCTCAGTCACCATCTCAGCATTCTCTGGGGGTGGGGCCGGCATGCCTGGGATGAAACCTCGGCCGATGTGCTCTGCCTAAGCAGGTGCTTTAGCCCACTGAGCTATCTGGCCGGCCCTAAGTTTGTTTATTCTTTAAGTCACCATAATAAGGAAAAGGCAGAAAGTATATTTAATTGCATGTCATTCTAGTGATAGAAAAGCCCCACACCTCTGGACCATGGGCCAGGGCTTGCAAATGGTTTCATGGTGGCGAACTAAGCATTTCTTGTCACAGGATGTGAACTGTAACAGAATGCTGTAGACATTATTAAACTGGGGTGAGTTTTAGAAAGTGACAAATGTTTCCTGAATGTGAGCTGGGTCCTGCCAGCTTGAGTGGCTGCCAAGTTGTGTTCTCACTTGCCTGCTCTGTGACTGCCTCAATTATTTCCTTCCCCAGCTCTGTACGATGAGATTCGTCAGTTCCGCCAGGCCTGTGGGGAGGCTCATCTCAAAACCATCCTAGCCGCAGGAGAACTCGGATGTCTTACTAATGTTTATAAAGCCAGTATGCTAGCAATGATGGCAGGTAAGTGTTTTATATTCAAGTACTGTTTTGTACTGGTTGATGTGTTTTGGAGAAATAAGTAAGTCAAGAACATCTGGCCTTTATTAAAGGTGCTAACCACTTGGGATTTTTTGGGAGGGGGTGAAACACTTTGTGGATGCGTGTTCAATGTGAAGTGGTCAAGAGACCCCTGGCTTTCTTCCATGTTTTGCGCAGCCTTGCCTCGCTGCACTATCCTCAAACAGCAGTAGATGGCTCTCTTGTTAGTGAATTGTCCTTTATGCTGATTTCATCTACATATGTAGAAAGGAATTTACTTAACTCTGAGTATTTCTTTCTGAATTGAAGCTTTGACTTTTTTCCCTCAGATATATATACTATTTGAGCCAGCCCCTGCTTTTCTTGTATTAGTTTCTCAAAAATTTGGTGTAGTATTTTTCATAGTTTCAAATACGGATTGATGTGTTCTTTATTTTTATGAAGAACAGATACATCTGTTCAGATGTTCAAGCTTAAAGACTAGGAGTCTTTTCTCTACCTTCATATAACATATGGAACAAGTCCTATGAGTTCTACCTCTTTCCTACATCTAATGTGCTGGTCCCCCTTCTAGTCTGTTCTTTTTTTTTTTAATGTATTTGGTACAGAGTATACAGGGTCTCACTACACAGATCAGACTTGTAGTGATCCTCCTGTTTTTTAGCCTCCCAAGTGCTGGGATTACAGGCACGCACCACCATACCCAGTCTCATTTGCATCTCAGTGTGCCCCGGGGATGGGCTGGCATAGCAGGCCAAGGCTCAAACCCCCAGCCCTTGCATCTGCCTAAGCAGGCACTTCAGTCCACTGAGATCTCTGGCTGGCCCTTTAGTCTGTTCTTCATACTATTCAAAATGATCTTTTAAAAAGTGCTAATTTGATTATAGTACTTCTTGATTTTAATCTTTTTGTCACTTCTGATTTTCTTCCAGGTAAAATAAGAATTCCTTAATTCTTATTTTATTTATTTATTTTTTTTGGCAGAACCAGGGATTGAACTCAGACCCTTGCACTTGCTGGGGAAGTGCTTATTCTACTGAGCCATCTCCCCGGCCCCTTAATTCTTATTTTAAATAATCCTTCCTAAGTACTATTTTACCCCCCCTCCCCACTATATCAATTACTTGCCATTTCCTGAAGATGGTGACACCCACATCTCTAGTATGTGTTGTGACCCCTGCCTAGAATGCCGTTTGCATTGATTACTACTTAGAATCTTTGGATTCAGTGTAGGCACCACCCTTTTCAGAAGTATCGCCCATAGCCGCGTCCTTCCCCACCACTTAGCTGGTTTTCTGGTAATCATCTGTTACCTATATCATTCTGTGTGCCTATATCATTTTGGTAAAACCTGTCAGATAACTTACCATGCTGTGATTGCTGCTAAGATTTTCCATACTCTCCTAGATGCCTCATATTTGGGTGAAGCTATTTGGCTTCTCTGGTCTTAAGTTTGGGTCATCCATCATGGCCATCCTTTAGATTATTGTGTTCTTCTGTACTCTTTGGATGATTTGCCAGTTACTCCCTGGAATTCTACTGAAAATCATCCTGTTAGGCATAAATGGTGCGATTGTCCCAATCACGCTGCTGGATTCAGAAAACATTTTTCTCATTTAGAGCAAAATCTCTGAAAACATAAGGATAAGACAGAATGGAAGATTTTCAGCTGTGGTTCATCAATGTTGACATTTCAGAAATCCACAGTAAAAAATAAAGACTTACTGCATGGCTCAAGTCCTTGAATTCATGAAGCTTCCTTTCCAAGCTCAGGACAACAGGCTGTCAGAGAAGGTACCAAAATAAAAGTTTGGAAGCATACTAGAAGCCACTTTTAGTACATGCTGAATTTTTATTTATTTATTTCAAGTAATGCAAGGCCTAGGGCCTTGGACCTGCTAGGCAAGTCCTCTGCACTGAGTTGTTTCCCCAGCCATTTAAATTTTTTTATTTTGAACAGGTCTTTCTAAGTTGCCAAACTGGGCCTCGAACTTGCATTCTCCTGCCTCAGCCTCCCACCTCGTTGGGATTATACACTTGAGCATTAGCTGCATGGTTGGGGTGCACGGGAGGCTCAGGCTCCCATCAGGGTCACATCTCAGCCAGTCCTGAGGTGTCAGTGTCCCAGCTATGCTGCAGGGACAGCGAAATGATACTCATTCTGAGTTGCAGCCAGTGCTGTACTGCATATGCTAGGCGCGTGGTGTTCAGTCACCAGGCTCTGGAAGCCTGTTCTACCCTCTACCCGTTCTATCTGAAGGGAAAAAGCGATCAGAAACACGCTCACTCTGTCTCTCCCTTCTTATTTCACTGCTCGTGTTTTTATCTGCTTCGTTTCATCATGGCTATCCAGCGTTCACTGTGAGTACTAGAACAGTTTATGGCCTGCTTTATCGGACACTTCTAAATAATATCCTTAATCTTCACAACAGCCCTGGAATGGATGAAGAACTGTGGGGTGAGTGGCTTACTGGGGTCACGGACTGATGCGTCACGCATAGTCCTTATTTGAACCCAGGTTTTCTGGTTGCAGGTTTATTGCTTTTCATTTGTAAAACAGTTGTTTTCCAGGGCTTGGTGCTTGCTCATACCTGAAAAGCCACAGTCTTTCTGAGGTGCCCTGGATGAGTGCATCTGTATTTCCTGGCTGAGAGCTTATGCTACTGAGACATGGCATAGAATTTCTAAAACATTTTTCTCATTTTTATTTGTATTTATTTTTAGCAACTTGAACTTTTTAAATTAAAAAGTTATATTTTTATTTCATATATCACTCAGAAGAACTCCTGTCCCCTGAATAATTTTGATGAAAGCCAGGTGTGGTGTTGTATGCCTGTCATTGGTGCTTAGGAGGCTGAGGCCAGAAGACTGCTAGGAGTGTGAGGAAAGCCTGGGTTCCAGTTTAAATTCAAGGCCAGGCTCACCTACACAGCAAAACTCCAAAGCAAGGAAACAAAAATGTTAATAATAATATTAACAATAATTATTATTTTGACTAAATCCACATTGCTT